TTTATTATTTATTATTTATTTTTTATTATTTATTATTTATTATTTATTATTTATTTTTTAATATTTATTCCTTATATTTACTACTTGAATAATGTTTTTGCATTTGATTATTCCGTTTGCTTTTAATTTATTTGTATTACATTATTTTTTATTTACTTTTTTATTTACATAATTAATTACCTTATTTTCAACTCAATTACACTTTCAATTTTGCGTCGTTATTTTATTTTTTATTTATATTCCGCATTCGTACACACATATTTGAGAGCCTGTCAAACACAATTATTGTTGTGCCTGCCGTCCACTCCACACCCATTTGTTTACTACTTCCTCCCTTTACCCCTCTCGCACATCGTTTACTCCCTCAAGCGTCAATTAAACGTTGTTTTGCATATATTAAAAAACGTGAAGCAAGCTTATACCATATCGAAACGAGTGAGTTCTGAGCGAATTGTATCTCTAATAAAAATAAACTATGTAGAAAAGTGTGTAGGAAATTAAATTTCAGTATATTTTAATATTTTTAAATGCTTGACCTATTTTTGATTTTTATTATATTTTTGTTGACAATTTTCATCCAACCTTTTATCTATATTTATTTATATTTATAACTACACTTAGTTTATAAATGTTAAATACTTCATTGAATATCATATTTATAGAGTATCAGCAGCGTCATCAAGTTCAAGGTTATATTTATTTATTTATTGCTGGCTGTGGGTCTCTCGCGTGCTTTTATTTAATTAACATTGCGCTACGAATAACAATGTGGAGACATCTAAGCGCAAATGCCGGACTAGGTGATTCTCTGTAGCTCCCAAATGGAACTTTGATACATCTAGAACTAACATAAGTAAACAACTAAGTACTTAAACTTCACAATCTATCGACTTAATATTCAATGCGAATCAGTTGGAGACCACAAATACCTGATAAGAATTTTGATTAATTTTTCAATATTGCATCATGCACAATGTGCGCAGGGTACAAATTTGTTTTATGGGTGGTCCAAAACCTCAATTGTTCTTAGAGATAGACAGCAAGTACAAATGGGCGCTGATAAGCTTTATCAGTGTGTATATACTTAGTATATTTTCAAATTAAATGTATTTTTGGATATAGTATGAGTGAGCACTAATCAGAAGAGAGCCAAACATAGATTCTCCGAAAGCTCTGTGACTGTCGACCCCAACAAGTCGTTGAAAATCCGTTCAGTCACAGTCAATTACGATCAGTTACTCGAGTCGGATCGTCAGACACATAATCATGCTGGAAGTTACGTTGGCATTGCTGCTCCTACTTGTGGGCCTCTTCTACGTATTCATGACATGGAATTTCGGCTACTGGCGCAAGCGAAAAGTCCCTGGTCCTGCCCCACGCCTTCTCACAGGCAACTATCCGCACATGTACAACATGAAGCGTCACGCAATCTACGATCTCAATGATATCTATAGGTAAATAATATAGATATAAGCTTAAATTGAAATCGATTCCACATTCTCTGTCTCTTTACTTGCAGAGAATACAAACATCAATTCGACGCAGTTGGCATTTATGGAGCTCGCACTCCCCAATTGCTGGTGATAAGCCCGCAGTTGGCTAGACGCGTCTTCGTCTCTGACTTCAGGTACTTCCACGACAATGAAGTCTCTCGTATGGTGGATGAGAAATCCGATTTCATATTTGCCAACAATCCGTTCTCCCTGATCGGAGACGAGTGGAAGCACCGACGCGCAGACGTTACTCCCGGACTAACCATGGGTCGCGTAGGTTTCGTGTAGAGAAAATCAAGGAATATCATAGAAATTGCACTCATTTCCTCCTCCAGATCAAGACCGTCTATCCAGTGACCAATGAGGTATGCCAAAAGATGACCGAGTGGCTACGCAAGCAAATACGTTCGCCTCCAAGTGAGGGCATCGATGCCAAAGCTGTAAGAGTTTGTTTTTAAATAGATGAATATATATCATATACCTCATCATATTACTCTCTCAGATGAGTCTGCGCTTCACAACCGAAATGGTCACCGATTGCGTGCTGGGCCTGAAGGCCGAGAGCTTCTCAGACAAGCCCACTCCAATCATGGGCTACATCGAGGAGCTCTTCAAGCAGTCCTGGGCTTTTATCATATACTTTATAATTGTCAGCACTTTGCCTGCGCTGCGACACGTCTTTAAGCTGCGCTTTGTGCCGCTGCGTATTGAAAACTTTTTTGTGAGTCTGATGCAAACGGCCATCGATGCACGACAACAACAACTGGCCGTTGGAAAGCAATTCGATCGCGTCGACTTCCTGGACTATATACTCCAGCTGGGCAGCAAGAAGAACCTGAATACTCGCCAATTGACCGCACACACAATGACCTTCCTGCTGGACGGATTCGAGACGACGGCCTCAGTACTTAGTCATATGCTCTTGCTGCTCGGCAGAGATGAGCAGGTGCAGCAGCGACTGCGCGAAGAGATCGAAGCCCATCTCAGTGACAAGGGCGTCATTGAGTTTGAGAGGCTCAATGAGTTGCCCTTCCTGGATGCATGTGTCCAGGGTAAGTCGGAGCTTATATTGATGCTCAACTATTTCTAATCACCTTTATTTCACAGAATCCTTACGCCTCTTCCCACCCGCCTTTATGTCGAGTAAACTGTGCACTGAACCCATCGAGCTGCCCAACAAAACCGGCGAGAACTTCGTTTTGGAGCGCGGCACCACGGTTATTGTGCCCCACTATTGCTTCATGCTCGATGAGGAATACTTCCCCAATCCGCAGGCCTTCAAGCCGGAACGCTTCATGCAACCCGATGCTGCTAAGATGTATCGAGAGCAAGGTGTCTTCATGGGCTTTGGTGATGGTCCGCGCATTTGCATAGGTGAGTGAAGACTTCTTTCATTTATATTTTAGCCATGATTAGTTATGATTTGACTTCTTTGATTCTAGGCATGCGCTTTGCATTGACACAGATCAAGGCCGCTGCCGTCGAGGTGTTGACCAAGTTCAATGTGCGCGTCAATCCGAAAACCATCAAAGATAACGAGTATGAGCCAACGGCGTTTATCACGACCCTGAGAGGCGGCATTTGGCTAGACTTTGAGTCGCGCCAATGACGGAAATATATATAGAGCAAATCAACTTTCAGGGGTATTTCACTCAGCAATGAAACGTTCACGACGAGCTCTCGCATATCAATTGACTCATCATCATTTAGCGCACAATCTGTGTGCACAACTTTCGCATTTCGATGTGAGGGATAGTGATACAGTCAGCCATGACAAAGTGAGGAAGTGGGTGCAATGATAAAATATAATTGATAATAGTTTTATTTTTCATTATCTTTTTATTGTGTTTTATTGTCTTTGAATATTTTCGATAATGTAATAAATATTACCAATATTTCAGCTGACAATGGAGTGTAATATTACAAGTGATTTCAGAGTACAGAAATAATAATAAAATAAATATGAATGATTTCAATTTGTAGTAATTGTTTAAATGGCATTATATTATTGGTAATATACCTTTTCAAAGCAGTGTTTAATTATCATAAAGGTCTTCTTTGTATATTTTTATTTATTTATGTATTTATTTATTGATATATTTATTTATGTATTTACTTATTTTTTTTTAGTTATTTATTTATTTTTTTTGTTATTAATTTATTTTTATATTAATTAATTTATTTATTTATTTATATATTTGTTTATTTACATATATACTTATTTATTTATATTTTTATTTATTTATCTATTTATTTATTTGTCTGTTTATTTATTTATTTAATTAATTCATTAATTTTTTTTTTTTTATTTATTTATGTATTTATTTATTTATTGTTTGTCCGCAATCGACAGTTTTACAAATTCTCTGGTTCTCTGATTAGAAAATCATTTGTATTGCAATACATTCATGAATATATATATTTCAATAAATCTTTTCAATTAAATTTGTAATTTATAAATAATTAAATATAATATTAAATAATAATTTAATAATTAATTGTTCATCTGCTGAGGCTTATCAAATCGATGAACTCAACTGGTTGGCCAGATCAATAATATGTAATATGCCTTGAAATTGAAATAATCTGATCTAATACATTTCAAGCATTTCCATGCAAGAGCATAAATTTTACTGCCCCAATTACTTACTTTAGTCAAGTTAAGTGACTGGACTTTAGTCACAGCACAATTGGCAGCCGTCACGTCTGAAAGAGTTAATTAAATGAGCGAAAATGTTTCAGTTGCAGTACAAAAATTTACGCTTAACTGGCTCAAATGCAATTAGGTATGCAAATTTAAAGGGCTTCTAAGATGGGAATCTAATTAAATCAAGCCGATTGCAGTTGCGTCTAATGCTCTGCATTGAGCTGAATATAGAATGTCTGGTGGAAAACGTCTGTCGCTATAAATACATTTGAAGGCACGTATATCAAAAAGGTGCAAAAAGCTTCAACTTACAGACGGCAGGCAGCTGTCTGCACTGAGCTCAAAGTAATGAAAAGTAAAAGTTGATTGAACTTCTAGGAGGTGATGTCAACAGCTGCTGATGATGTGCATATATATATGTATATAGTAGATATATGATAGTGAGGGTGCTTGCTGTCTGACAGACTCAGACTATATTGGCAGGTTCACAACTTATCGCTGCATAATTTTTGGCGCCTGGCAACGACCATCAACAACAACTGAAAATATGCGAATGTATGCCGAATAGATTTATGTTATTTATTTAGTAATTTATTCATGTCTGGCAAGCGCCTGGCACATGTTACTTGTCAGCGTCGCTCGAATCGTCCGATTGCCTGACTGTCACTCAGCCTGGCATTTGTCTAAATCATATTTCCCTCCATCAATGGCCCCATTGATGACATTTACATACATAGCCAGCTAATGTTAGTCAAAGAAATATATATTTTCGTTGAGTGCTCAAAGCTCAAATTCGATTCAATTAATAATGTGAAAAGTAGTTCAATTTGAGTGGTTGAATTGAGTGTGGCAAATCCAATTGGGAAATCAAAGGCACACACATCAAATTGCATTAGCTCAAGAGCGAGAGAGAGAGAGGGAGGAGGGAGAGATGGAGGTGAACTCAGGTGAGAGTTATGCATATGCACTTTATTCAGCCCGGCCACAAGTCCAAGTTCAATCTGCAATTTGCTGCGGCTCTGATTTGGCAAATTGTTTGCAGCAAAAACAAAAGGCGAAGACAAGCCCCAGCTTTGCCTAACAGCCAGCACGCCTCACTCTTGCCCCACTCCATGGCAATTTATATATTGTCTGGCAGTTTGGCCTCTCCCCCACCCCGATTGTCTGTTTGCTGCTCAAAGGTTGAGCGTAGTTCAAATTGTTTGCCAGGTGTTTTCCCAGCAGCACTTTTTCTTGGCTATTTGATCTGTGATTGAGCTGAATGAGCAAATAAACTTGTGGCTGAACTTCGGCTCCGGCTTCGAATCTGGCTCCCTCTGCACTCGATGGAGCGTTGAGACCAAGCTGCAAAGCTGATTGAGCTCAATGGGTTTCCACTTTTCGCCTGTTAGGTGTCTGACTTATTATCTGTTACTCTTGGCTCTTGGCACTTGGCCCAGCGCTCTCCTGATGCCTTTGTTGATGCTAAGCAAGCTGATGCGCAAATCCGCCCATCCTCAATATAACCAAATCCTTGGTAATTGCTCAAGTCGAAATCAACTCAATTGTAATGCAATACGTTCTTAATTAACATCTTTGCCGTGGAAGCGTTTTACATTCAGAGCAAATGATAAGCTGAGCCAAGCTGAGGGCAATCGCAATACAGAAGTTGAGCTAAAGAAACGAGTTGAGCTTAAGTCTTTGCCTAATTAATTTTATTTTTCACCTATATTAATATTAGTTAACATATTTATTTAATAATAATAGCTTAAATTTAGATAATTATATTT